GGCCGTGATCTTCAAGCTTCTAGCAGCGGTAGTGCTACCGGATGGTCTGGCAGCGGACTCCCTAGTCTCCGAGATGGCTGTCTTTACGTTGGTGATCCTTGTTCTCACGTGGCATTCGACCAAGTCGTCGAGGAGGTCTACCTACAAGATGAGTCCACAGGCAGTCGGGTTCCAGTTGACAGCTCAGGACGACAGCTCGAGGAAGCTGCTGCTGCCGCTCTCAAAGAAAAGCGATTCTCTTTGGAAGTCCTACGTGATCTACTACCTCTGATACCTCCTAAGACCTCGAAGAAGCATCGCAGCATCAACGGCGAAGTGGGACTAGAGTCTCAAAGTTTTCTCGGTGGGATGTGGAACCACGGAGGCCTACACGGGGTGTCTCGCGACTCAGTACGATTCCCGAAGTTCGTCTCCTACGTCAACGAGGTCATGAAGAGGGAGACAAAGGGGAGAGACCTCGGATGGTCGTCGTTCATCGTCACAAAGGACATTGCTACTACAATCCACCGCGACGCCCACAACCTCTTTGGAACCTCCGTTTTCACGGTGACCCTGGGAGAATTCTCCGAAGGCGGTGTCTGGGTCGAGAGGGACTGCAGCGACGACCCTCTACATCTCCCAGTTGAATGGCGCCCTGGTCCTGATGGTGATCCCCTTCCGGGCTACCTCGTGTCTACCAAGAACCACCCGTATGTCCTCGATCCGAAAAGGAGACACTCTACAGAGCCGTGGACTGGTGAACGATGGTGCGTGTCGTGCTTCACCGGGAGAGCCTTCCCCGACACCGATGCTCGATTGCGCGATGGCCTAAGAGAACTCCGTTTTCCTCTCCGAGGTCTCTCACATGTTCTCAAGCAGAAGGACGAGATCTACGCGAGGACCACCAGGCCCATCAAGAGCACGAGGAAGTCCTTGTGGAAGAATGCACAGCGGCTGGTGACGCTGACTGCCTGGTGTGCCATGGTGACGTCCACTTTCGTCTCTCCTACATTCCCTCCGGGACATGATTCGGAAGGAGTCACCCTTCTCGAGATCGGGGGAACGAACAAAACTTTCGAGGCCCACGACTACGGCTATTTGACCGCAGAGCCCCTGGTAGCTGAAGACTTTCTTGGAGTTCAAGGATTATCCACAGCGACCGCCGTGATCGACGAGCTCCAGCCCTCTCGGCTCTGGATTCACCTCGCTGAGCTGAGGGGTGGCCTTGAACGGGTCTTGAGTGTCGTTCAGAGACAACTCGCCACTGGGCGGGGCGCGGTGCTTGAAGGAGGACTTGGAGATGAATGCTGGTCTTCCGACTCCATTGGGGTCTTCCTCGACTTGTACGACTATCGATGGGAACGCGGACCCCCGGACACATGGCTTCTTCACTTCAATCCGAGCGAGTTTGAGGATGTGGGGGACCACGACGAACCCAGCGACCAGTTACGACGTTATCTACTACAACGTGAAGGCCAGACCGATGAAGATCAACAAGCCTACGTTGTCGATTCTAGGCCAGGTCGTGGTGAGGAACCGGTACCGGACCGAGGCGGCGGAGGAGCTCAAGCAATTTCTTTCTCGAAAGGGACTCCCATCAAGAAGGAAGTCCAGTCTGCCCTCAAGCGCCTCCACCAGAATTTGGGACACCCCTCCAACGAGGACTTGGCGCGCCATCTGAGAGTTGCTGGCGCTGGAAGCGAGGTCGTGGAAGCCACAAAACGTCTACAGTGCCAAGTGTGTGCGAGAAGCAAGAGGGCGAGTTCGGCTAGGCCGGCCTCTCTCCCCAATCTCCTCGACTTCAACCAGATTGTCGCCGTCGATGCCTTCTCTACCTACGACTTTGCCAGGCGCCGGTGTGAGTTCATGATGGTGACCGATCTCGGTACCGGGTTTTCATTGGTTGGGCCCCTCACAGGGCATTCGACCCAGTCTATGGAGCGTGACTTCTGCACTATTTGGTCAAACACTTTCGGGGCACCAGGTACGCTTGCCTTGGATCTGGAATCGGGTTTGCAAGCCGGTCTCGGCAGGTTTTCCGAGTGGCACGGGACGAAGCTTCGTCCCGCGGCGGGACAGGCACATTTTCAGCAAGGAGCAGTGGAGCGTGCAATTCAGTCCTGGAAGGCGATTTGGAGAAAACTCGTCGATGAGCACTCCGTGGGGAGAAACGACATCCAGATGGCAGTTACTGCCATCAACACGGCAGTGAACACCCGCAAGCGAGACTCCGGATATAGTCCCGCTCAGGCCGTTTGGGGGCGAGATCCTGCGTTACCTGAAGACTTGTGGGGATCGGGCCACGGGGAGCAGATCGACCATGTGATCACTCGCGATCGCAAGCGCGCCCGCGAAATGGCTCTGCGCCTCGGGGCCAAGGAAGCCTTCTTCAAGATCCAGAACGACAACAAGTTGCGACGAGCTCTTCTTCAACGGACGAGAGTGGCAGGCCCGGAGGTCCAAATTGGAGACTGGGTATACATGTATCGGAAGCCCAAGAACTGCAAGGACTGGAGGTGGATTGGTCCAGCTACTGTGATCGGACGCGAAGGTCCGAACCTCTGGGCATCCTTCGCGGGACGTTGTCATCTCGTAGCTCAAGAACATCTACGTTTGGCTACAGGAGAAGAAATAGGCGGGGCATTTACGCTCCGCTCTACCAAGGAGGATTTGGAGCGCCTCCTGGACAGGGACTTCGCAGAAGAGGAGATCTACGTTGGGAACGACGACGGCGATGCCGATGAAGGACATCGCATTCCTGGTGCTATCAGCGGCAGAGCTGAGACTGCGGAGGAGGAGGACACCGACATGCCCTTCCTAGACCTACACGGGACTGATCCTCCTGGCGACGAGGCGGGCCAAGGACCCACCAGAAGGAGGAAGCGCAAGAAAGGGCCCCCGGATGTGAGCCTCGAGGATATGCCGATGGTCCCCGACTCCCCCTTGGTCTCCGATGACGAAGACGCAGGCGGCTTGCAGAGGGGTCACGGTTCTGGCATTCTTCACGAAGCACACATGTTGAAGCTTCCCAAGACCCCCCGGGGCAGAGAGAAAGCTCTCGAGAAGGAGCTGCCATGGGCTTTTATCCCCACTTCTCAACACGAGGCCTTTCGCGCTGCTGAGCAGAAACAATGGGAGGAGCACAGGGATCACTCAGCCCTAGAGCCGCTTTCTGTAGAGGCTAGCCGGGAAGTGAATGCCACCAAGGGTGACAGGATCCTTGGAAGCAGGTTCGCCTACCGTGACAAACACTGGAGCAAGAGAAAACAGAACAGCGAACTTCCTTGGAAGCCGAAGGCCAGACTCGTGATTGCCGGCCATCGGGATCCAGATTTGTCACTGGGCTTGTCTACCCACGCTCCTACAATTTCGAGGCAAGGAATCTTCCTGTTGCTGCAGCTCTTGGCCAGCAACCTAGCCGGGGGATGGACAGGACACGCCGGCGATGTGAGCTCGGCCTTCTTATGTGGACAGGAACTACAGCGGGAGCTCTACTTGAGGCAACCGAAGGTTGGCTTAGGGGATCTTCATCCTGAACAACTTCTTCGGATAAAGAGGCCGATCTTCGGCCTTGTCGATTCCCCTTCCTCCTGGTGGGACACTCTACGTTCCACGCTCCTCGAGACCGAGATTTGCGACGAGGATGGAAAGGTCTGGCACATCCGCCAATGCACCCTGGACCACTGTATCTTCATGGTGCAGGAGTACCGAGGGAAGGACGAGCACGGGGAGGCGAACTACGAACGGCCTACCGCCTACTTGGGGGTACACGTGGACGATATTTTGCTCGTCGGGATGGACACCCTGTGCTCCTTGGTCAAAAAGAAGCTCAGCTCCGTGTTTCCCATTCCGGACTGGGAGTCCAACAGCTTCGAGTACGTCGGCTCCTTTATCGATATCGGCGCCAACGAGATCAAGGTCTCTCAGTCCAGCTACGTGAAGACGAGACTCTTTGAGGTCGAGATCGACAAAGGGCAAAAGGACTGGGAACCTGCGAGCGAGACCCAGAAGCACGACAACATGTCCCTGGTGGGCGCTTTGAGCTGGCTGGCCAGTCAGAGCAGGCCAGACCTTCAAGTCGGCGTCTCCTTGAGCCAGCAATGCCAAAAGAACCCCTGCGTAGGGGACATCCGCTTCACGAATGCCAATGCGAAGCGAGCCTACGAGCACCTCGACGAGGGGGTTTTGATCAGGCCGGTCGACCTCAACCAGGCCGTCCTTTTGTGTTACCACGACGCTGGATGGGCAAATTGCCCCCAGGACGAGGACGATCCCTACTACGCGTTGACGCCCGAGGAGAATGCGGACGGCATCATGGAGAACGGGCCCTACGACTTCCACCTTCGGAAGGCCAAGAGAACGAACTCCTGTATAGCCTCTCAGTTGGGTGGACTCTATCTACTATGTGACAAAGCGGTCCTCTTAGGAGGAAAGCACAAGGTCAGTCTCTTGGACTGGAAGAGCTCGGCTTGTGACCGAGTCTGCAGGTCTACATTCGCTGCTGAGACCATGGGATGTGCGACCGCAATCGAGACGGGGGAGTACATACTCCGCTTTCTACAGACACTCGTTGACGGCAAGTTGGCGAGGACTTCTACCCCCTTGCGCTACGACATCCGGTTTCTGAGTGACTGTAAGAGTTTGTACGATAACCTAACGAAGGATGGCATACCTCGGCCACCCTCCTGTAAGCGGCTTGCAATAGACTTGGCTGCCATCCGTGATGATTTGAAGACTCTGGGACGTCTCGCCTGGGTCCCAACAACGGCCCAAATGGCGGACCATTTGACAAAACCCTTGAGAGCAGGGGACTGGTGGGCCGTCCTTAAAGGAGGGCTCATGTTGACGTTTAGAGAAGGAGGAGATGTTCTTAACCAGTGTCAATCTGTGAAGCGCACCGCTGTCTGATTCTGCCATCTCCTCCGAAGTTTCCCAAAGCAAAGCTGAACAGTTTTATCCCGGAGGCACAAGAGTGGTTCGAAGCGTGGCAAAAGCGGCCGCCGTCTCTGCAGGCAGGACCCCTGCTTCTTCGTTTTAGATTTAGGGTTTAGGGTTTATAGAAATTGTTAAGGGTTTGGGTCCCAATAACGTTTTGAACGAAACGTTTTGAACGAAACGTTTCGCCGAAAGTTTTTTTTTGCGAACCATGTTTCCAAATTTCTTGGGGGGCTGCGAAACGTTTTGAACGAAACTTTGGAGCGAGACGTTTTGACCGTCCTGGGGCGGGGGCTGGGGCTGGGGCTGGTCTTTTGCGAACGCTTTTGGGGAATGGTATGGGGGGAGGTGAGAACGACAGAAGAGAGCCCTAAACCCTAAACCATGCAGGTTGGGTGCCAATAACGTTTTGACCGAAACGTTTTGTCTGGCATGTGCATGTTGCAGCTGCATGCAGCTTGGGTGCCAATAACGTTTTGACCGAAACGTTTTGACCGATAGTTTTGGTTTTGGACCCATATTCGAGATTGGTTTGGCGAAAGTTTTGACCGAAACGTTTTGTGACTGAAACCACATTTTGAATTTGCTGGGCTGGGCCTGGGCCGGGCTGGGTGGGGGCGCTGCTTGGGCTGGGCTGGGCTGGTGGGCTTGGGCCTGGGGCCCGGGGCTGGGTTGCCTGGATTGAAGGGTGTAGAGAAATTGGTTTGTCAAGGAGCTTGTTCCGTTTTTGAGCTCCAGCTACAAGTTTGTAGAGAAATTTGTTTATCAAGAAGCTTGTTCCGTTTTTGAGCTCCAGCTCAATGTTGGCCGGGCCGTACCGGCGGTGACAAGTTTCTAGAGGAATTGGTTTATCAAGAAGCTTGTTCAGTCATTAACCTGTGTGTTGGGCCTTAGCGGCGGTTACAAACAAGGACAAGCAATTTCTATTTATCACTTTCTTGAGGGTTTAGGGTTTAGGGTTTAGGGTTTAGGGTTTAGGGTTTATAGAAATTGTATAGGGTTTGGGTCCGGGGTTTTGAGCGAAAGTTTTGGGCAGTTTCGTTTTTTGCTTTGGTTCTGTGACCGGGCTGGGCTGGGGTTGGGGCTTGCTGGAGCCGGCGCTGTGGCTGGGGCTGGGGTTGGTGGTCTGGGTTCCGTTTAAGTGAGTTGACCGAAAGTCCTGCTCTTGGGTCCTTGTGCCTGGGCCTGCAGGCTGGCGGCTACAAATTGGGTCCAGGACTTTGAGCGAAAGTTTAGACCTTTGATTTTGGGAGTGGGCTGGCCTGGGGTCGGGCCTGGCTGGGGTCGGGGCCGGATTGGGCTGGAGTCCGGGGTTTTGAACGAAAGTTTTGACCGGGCTTTGCCTTGGTGTTTTGATTTTGGGACTTTGAGCGAAAGTTTTGGCAGGGTTTAAGTTGTTGCTCTGCAAGTTTGAACCTGGTGGGTTTTGGGCTGGGCTGAGCTGGGTGGGCTGGGCTACGAGGCTGGACTAGTCACTTGGGCGTGGCTTGGCTGGGGGCTTCACCTTGCATTGACCCTTCGTCTTCCTGGCGCCAAGGAGCAGGAACCAGGCAGCTTGGGAACAGAGACCAACACCTGCAAGCAGGATAGAACATGTGGTGTCCATGCAACAAGGAAATCAATACCTGCAAGCAGGATAGAACGTTTGGTGTCCATGCGACAGGGAAGGCTTAGTATGTGACTGTTGTCTATCTGCAGTCACGGAGCCGGCTCAAAACCAGCACGCGATAAAGACCCACCGGGAATCAAGATGTTGAGCCCATGCCGGGGACGGCAGCGTTGATGCTGTGAGTGCACTGCAAAACGGTGCCTGTGTTGCCGCAGTTTCGGACATGCTTCACATGTTGGCAACGCACTACTCTCTTTTTGCTGGTCGCGGTCTGCGCCTGTACTATGTTGCTGCCGCCTTGTGCTGGCGCAGCCTCAGAAGCCGCGCTGGCCTTTCAAATGTGCCTCAGTGCGTAGGTCGGGTGCACCACAAGAAGGGCGTCCAGTTCTCCATCGCTAAGCTCCTGCGGCTGCTCCTGCATGGAATCCAGGTAGAGGAAGCAGTGCTCTAGAGGCCTCACAGCCACCCAGTGCCGACCTTCAAGGTTCACCACCGCGCCAATGCAGCCGTGCAGGTCTCCGGCGGTCGTGGCACGCTGGATGTCCATCTGCCAGCGTAGTTGTCCGAACTCTTCCATCGCCTTAGTTCTCAGGACCATGCTCATGATTTCGATCGAATAATCCCCATGAGGTTCCAGATGGTCCTGCATGTTGTCGCCAAGCTCGAAATTCTCGTCCAGAAAGGCTTTGGCAGCTCGGGGCATGTCGACCGAGTCAATGCAATGAGCCCCGAGGGCATTGTTCAAAGCGTGGAGGCGCACCGGAGCGCTTCCTGACGCTCGAAGAATCGCGGTTCCCGACCTGCCGCCTCTGACCCATGCTGTTCTCGACCGTACATTTTGGCCACTTTGGCCGCTGGCGCAGTTGCCGGGGAGCTGTCCGTGGCTGGTCTCTTGGATGCAATGGTGGCTGCGAGCATGAGTCTGGGTTTTGCATTGGTGCTCTTGCCTTTGGCTTGGGTCTTGGCTGTGGCTTGGTTCTGGCCTTTGGCTTTGGCTGTGCCTTTGGCTTTGGCCTTTGCTTTGGGCGCGGGCTTGGCAGGACATGTGCGCCGGTGCTGCTTCTTGGCTGCTGCGGTGTCCGGTATCTCCTGCCCGCAATCCGGGCACTGCCAAGGTACCTCACCCTGTCCCTGCTTCCTCTCTTCCTGCCGCAGCCAGTCTGGACTGCGCATGTTGCGGAGCTTGCTCTCGTAGAAGTTCTTGCTCTCCGGTGGTCGGAAGAGCTGTTTCCAGAGCTGCGAACCATCGCGGTCTGCCTGCTGAGCTTTCAGGTTGGTCAGCGCCCAGTCTGCGTTGGCGTTGAAGCGCAATGATTTGAGGTTGAAGTGCTCCAAAGTGCAGAGGGCTTGCTCCGGGCAACGGCTCAGGGCCACATAGGCTTGACCCTCTTGCGTGCAAGTGGCATCCAAGCGGCAGTGGGCGCCGTCTCGCAGGGTGGCCGCTTGGCTCTTGTGAATGGAGATGGCTTTTGCAATCACCAGAGGGAATTGCAGCCTCGACGCCTTGCTACCTTCCATGTCCAGAAAGCTGGCCGACCGACGGGAGATCGCGACGCAGCTGGTGTCGTTCTCCGCGCACCACTTTGCCCCCGCGTTCTTCTCGAAGGCGATCCAGATGCAGTCCACCTCGTTGGTCTCCTCGTCTGCATCGATCTGCTCCACGAAGCCGCAGGCTCCGTTCACCAGGCCGTCCTGCACGTCGATGTTGTGCCTGAGCATGACTCTCACGCCGACTGCAATCTCCAGCAAAGCCTCCAAGCCACCCGTGTTCTCCGGATCGGCCCAGACCACTTCCGCGGGCAGCGGCGCGCCGGTTTTGATGTTGGTGTCCAGTGAAGGACACTCGTAGAGGCGAACGCCAGTCATCCTAATGTGCTCCTCCATGTAGCTGCAGTTGCTCTCTGCGACCGCACGGCGCGTGGGATAGAGGTACACCGCCTTGGCCGCAGGCTGCTTGGCATCCTTCGGCTTGACTACCATGGCTTGTAGCTCCTTCTCGTCTTCTTCCGTGTGCTTCCCAACGCGAATCCGCGCTAGCAGGGCTGCCCATTTCGGATCTTTGGAGGCGCGGTGATTGCCTTCCAGCTCGCAGAGTTGAAAGAGCATCCACAGACGACTGGCGAAGGGAGGCAGGCCACCAGGCGGTGGCAGCTGATATAGGTCCCCGGACAGAACAAGGTGCACGCCTCCAAACGGAATGTAGGCCACGTTCTTGGCTAGACGGAGGTGCTGATCCAGGCGCTCTAGCATGAAGGAGGAAACGAAGCTCATCTCGTCCACGAAGAGCACGGAGACCAGCTTCCAGATGTTCTGGAGCGCCGCAAGCTGTGGACCCGACGGCAGCGGCAGGTCGCAAGCTTTTCCATAGCTCTTGTTGACAACAGGCAGCAGGCAGCAGGAGTGGAGGGTGACGCCGTTGATGTTCCAAGCTGCGACCCCTGTCGGCGCTGCGATGATCACCCCAATGCCGCTCTGTCGGAGCATGTGGGCCGAGGCCCGCACGACGACGGATTTGCCGCAGCCTCCCGGCCCGTGCAACAGCATGTGAAGGCGTTCGGGTTCGGTAGTGTCTTTGGAACTTGGCTTCAAAGTGGATTGGATGATGTATTCCATGGCCCGACGTTGATGCTGCGTCTCTGGGCTTGGGTTCTCCACCGTGAGTAGATCGAAAGATTCCTCGCCCTCTTCCACCGGTGCGAAAGCGTCTCCGGCGGCTCCTGTCGGGACGTGCTCCGGGGCTTCGAACTCGATGTCGTCGCCGTGCCGCCGCTTCAATGCTTCCAGGATCTTGAGAGAATCCTCGTAGTTGTCCTGCGCCACCTTGCTGCTGGCCCACCCATCTATTGAGTGTCCCTGATGTACTCTTGCTCTCATGTACATGGTCGCCTGGACGGCCTGCAACTTCCGAGCAGCGTTCACCGTCCCGTCCATCTGAGGGAAGCATCTCGATCGGAGGAAGTCAGGGTTGCCGTCCAGGTCCGTGGCAAGGCGCCGAAACGCCGCGGCGTGGCTCCCGCAGTCTTCTTCTCGCAGCCAATCTCCCGGGTCTTTCCAAACGCTGTACAGCATGAGCCGGGAATAATAGAAAGCTTCCGGCTCCTGATCGGGGCTGAAGTTGCGGTAGCCGACGATGGCCGGGCGCTTCCGTGCCTGCGGGAACTCTACCCCGATGAACCTGAAAGCCGCGCAGAAATCCAGGAAGTTCAACTCCCGAAATCGACAGGCGGTAGGCTTGCCGCCCTCCACGGGAACGTCCACCTCTTCCTCGCTGAACGCCTTCTGCATCTCCCGATACCAGCGCTGCGCCACTGGCATGTGTCCATCACGATCGACCTTGGTGCGGCGGTAGCTGTCGGGCCGTTGC